CATTTTGTTTTGCCCGGAAGTTCTCGCAAGATCTACTCCTCCCCTCTCTCTCTCTCTCTCTGTCTCTTTCTGAATACTGTTAGGGTGAACTTTCCACGCAAAATTGGTTGGCCTAGATCTAGGCTATAACGGTGAACGCGCACCGGGTGAGAATAGCCAAAAGACTCGCCTGCACTATTCTCACCCGGGGTTTTCGGTCTTCCAAATCATCATGATTTTGGAAGCTATTGTGAGTATAATCTAGATTTGATAGATCTTGTTTTAAAGTGGTCGCTGGTTACGGAAAAGGGAATAAAATCAATTGAAGAATTTAACATGCTAAAGTATAAGATCACCGGTTTCTTGGACTTGTTTTGTTTTGTATTTTGAGTTTTGTTTTTGTTTTGGCAGATCCTAGATCTAGATTTTAACTCTCTTGTCCTTCGTCTGTGCTGAGATGCGAATCTTATCAGCAACTGATTACGCCAGACGTTCCGGGCAGGCCGCCGGGGTCACTCAGTGTGTACTGTTGGTTCACAGCGTGCGCCCCTGGAAATGTGTGTTTTCGCCATGAATACCGTGGGAGTGTGTTAATCAATGATGAAAAATAAGAGAAGACTTTCTTAATGAGCAACCACTATGAGACAGATTAGAGCAGAATTGAGGGGTAGGGGTAGATCTAGGGGTAGGGTTAGGGTTAGGCCTCTTCTTTATTGTGTTTGATGGGGTGGTCGCTCGTTACGGAAGTCCTTCCGAAAATAACGCTCTATCTTTCATAGCTTTATATAAAGTAGTGTTACAAACACATGAATAACCCCCTCTCATATAAAGCTGATAAACATTAGGAGTAGTTACGCCCATTCGAATACCTTTCTTGACGCTCTTGTTGTTATGAATGACCTGGGGTTCGAAAGGGGATAATAAAGGTCAATTTCTGAATGTTTTGCACTCAAATTGTTCTTTGTACCTGCTCAATGGTATTCAAAATTATCAAACAAGCTCTTATTTTTTATCAGGTAGTTATCATTTCATACAAAATCAAGCTCATTTGAAAGATTTTGTGTATAGAAAAATGAAAGTCTTGTTTCCTGACTATCCTTTCAAGCTCCTCATGTCTGGGTCAATTTGTTCTATATAATTTCATTGGACGAACATCTAGAGCTACCTACTTGACTTGTTTTGAATGAGACGTATGCCTCGGTTACAAACCAACGCAGGCGGTTCTAGAAGAAAGCCACAAACGCACACATACTCCTCTTGAAGCAGACTGATGCACACACACTTGAGCTGTGTGAATGCAGATCCGACGCGGGACCCGAATTGAAGGGAGATGATGCTTGGCGCGCGTGCGCTGAGCCAGGGGCCAGACTGACGTAGGACCAGAACGCTGGCGAGGTGCCGAAATAGGCTTATCTGGCAACATTATCCCGGCCCCGCGGGACGAGGGTTAAGTGTTTTACTCCACTTTTCAGTTTGGTAGGAATTAATTTGGAATATTATACAGGTGACAGCCGAAGCCTTCTGTACTCTTAGAGGACGATTGATTTTAGGACCACCAAGGGACTTTAACATGCACAACTTGCGCACAGGACCTCCAAGATTTTTTTTGTTGCTTTTCCGAGAAGGCGAGGTATATTATATCTTACCCTCTTCTTATCTTAATCCTTGTCCCCTGAGGTATATTATATCTTACCCTCTTCTTATCTTAATCCTCGTCCCCTGGGTGCCGCATTTATGTTTTCCATAATATATAGGAAGGAAGTGGCTATTCTTACCCCGGGTGAGAATAAATTTAACCCTTCGCAAGGCCATAGTCGCGATGGCCACGGCAGTCGTTCAGAGGCTATCGCGACTAGTCGCGATAACACACGTGTGCACTTGCGACCGGGTTTTGTGTACGGAGCCACAGGAAATGGATTAAACTAACTTGAAGTTCATTCCAAGAAGATTTTCTTAGTAGTTTCTGCTCGGAAGTGAAAGCTAGAGCCAAAATCGAAAGTACATTGACTAGTTTACTACTCTGGTTTACTTTTCGTCACAGCTGATGGAAAATGGCAGCGAATTTTAACTTTCGAAACCTCTTTGGTGCATTTTATGAGGATGGTAATGACAGTGAAGGTGATGATATTATTCCTGATGCTCAAACTGTGTTTAGGGGAGAAGTAGGTGATCGGGAACCAGTGGTTCAAACTCCCGGGGATCGAGAAATTGATCTAGGTTCAGATCTACAAAATAACTGGGTTCGTGAAACTTCTGCTCCTATTGTAGAGCCTTTTTTTGGCACACCAAGACTCTTAGTGGATCTTCCTGAGAATCCCCAGCCCATAGATTTCTTCCAGCTCTTTGTAAATGATAATATTATAGGACTGTGGGTTGATCAAACCAATGCTTTTGCAGCAAGCAAGTTGGATGTTACCTATGACTTACCCGGGCACTCGCGGCTCAAAGAATGGGAAGACGTAACCCTGGATGAAATGAGGAGATTTCTAGCGGCAACACCCAATGTGAAACTGTTCTGTGTGCTATGAAAATAGGGCAGACAAGACTGGATTCAAGAGAAAACAGACTGACTACCAGTGCAAGAAATGTGATGTAGCCCTGTGTGTCCCTTGCTGTTTTAAACTTTATCACACCAAGAGGAATTTGACTGTAACCCCCCGGGAGTAACTCACAGACAAAAACAGACTGACAAACGAACAGTGAAATATAAGTCCAAATACAGTCATGAAAATTTTTCCTAGATTTGTTTTCTGTATTCAATTACCAGTTCATTGATGCATGGTTTGTTGTTTTATCTTGAAAAATAATGAAGTTATAAGCTGAATATTGTCTATCGGTGTGGATGGTCAAATTGACAAAAACAAAGAAAAAAATGTTATTGCTCAAAAGTAAACTAATTGGTCATCTACAAAGATGCTACGCCTATTTCACTTTTGGATCGAGCCGAACTATGTCAGTCGTCATTTTGTTTTGCCCGGAAGTTCTCACTACTCCTCTCTCTCTCTATCTCTTTTTCTGAATACTCTCTATCGGTATAGATGATCAAATTGACAAAAACAAAGAAAAAAATGATGTTATAGCACAAAGTAAACTACTCTGGTCATGAACAAAGATGCTATGGCTATTACACTTTTCGAATGGAGCCAAACTATGCCGGTAGCCGTTTTGTTTTGCTCTGAATTTATCACTACTCCTCTCTCTCTCTCAACTTTCTCTCTCTCTCTCTCTCTCTCTCTCTCTCTCTCTCTCTCTCTCTCTCTCTCTCTCTCTCTCTCTTTCTCTCTCTCTCTCTCTCTCTCTCTCTCTTTCTCTCTCCTTCCCCCCTCTCTCTCACTGCTCGCAGACATAATTTCACGCTTTCAACACAAGAGCGCTGGGACGTTTGTTCACACCAGTATCACGGTGAACGCTACTCTGGTACCAGAGTGAACACGCACCGGGAGGCTCGCCTGCGCTATTCTCACCGCGGGTTGTAAAAAAAACAATTTGTGAACAAAACATTTGGAAATTGACCTTTATTATATATTTCCTTTTAAACCCCAGATCATTCGTAGCAACAAGAGCGTTTAATTTCGAATGGGCGTAACTACTTGTAATGTCTTATAAAAAATGTTAGCAGCTTATAAGAGGGGGTTATTCATGTGTTTGAAACGCTTTATTAATAGAAAGCTATAAACGATAAAGCGTTATTTTCATCATTGATTAACACACCCCCTCGGTATTCACGGCGAAAACACACGTTTCCAGGGCTGTTCGCTGTACACTAACAGTACACGCTGAGTGACCCTGGCAGCCCGCCGGGAACGTCTGTGGTAAGAATTTACTGATATACTTGCATCTCGGCACAGACGCAGGACAGGAGTTAAAATCAGGGGTGTGACTGAAAGACAACAGTGAAGGAGCCAGTAGTAGTAGAAAAAAGTCAGGAGTACAGGAGCCCAGGCAGTGGAGGGGGGGGGGGAGAAAGTGGAGATGAAAGCAGATGACAGAACATGATCAGAGAGAGAGCAGGAAAGGAGGCGAAAGGAGAAAATGATCCATGGCTATTTAATGAGGCATGCTCTGGTGTTGCCCCTCCTCTCCCCCCCCCCCCAGTACTGGATTTTAATACTGACTTAAATACTCGGTATCACATTTTTTATTCGAAAGAGAGTAAAAGAAATGCGCTGCTTCCATTCTTCAGTACAAAATAATCAGTAATATTTCACTTGTTTTTAACAAGGAGGCTTTCAGGATGGCTTGTCCCCCTCATCTAATAAAAATATGGGGGGTTTCAGGAGAGCCTGAATTTAACCATATTTGATGTTTGCAAGGCTTGGTATCTCACGCTTGCTGCGCATCGAACATCATATATAGAAAAGTAATTGTTTAGAATCAAAAGTATTCGTCGGTGGAGCCAAAACCCACACTTCATAGTTATCATCGTTGGGGCCAAAACCGGATTATCCCTTGAATCATTGAATGAGAGGCAACCTCGAAAGCCCCCTACTAAAATGAATACTAAAAAGAGCTAAATTTGATAAACTTACTGTACTATGTGTACTTAAGGATTAATAACTTGATAATGAAGTAAAGGTAAAGACAAGACTGAGAGTCTTTAGTTACAAAGTGACTGAAGCTGAAGTACCTAAACAGTTCAGGTCATTAACCCAAGTCCTAAGTTTTAATAATAATAGAATGCATTTGTATAGCACAAATCCCCGCTCAACAGCAGGCTCTATGTGCTTCACAATCTATACTATAACCCCAGCAGACCTGAGAGCATTCTGAAACAACCTCAACAAAGGACAAGGATTAAGGTGACTTGTGCCTTCTGCTATGGTCAATGAGACTTATTCTGGCAGACAAGAGTTTGTCACATTTTGAGCGTTTACAAGCTTCATTTCCACATGTGTGGAAGGGAAGTGGGCAGCTTGCTGGATTTCCTCTTGACTCCAGCATTTCCAAATTGAGAAGCCTCATCATATGATTTGCTTCCATCTATGATTACTGCTCTCTGGCTGGGTCTGTCAGGAGCTAAGCTCTATCATGTCATGATTGTCATGGCCATGTCATGGGATAAATGTTGAAGCCCTTCAGAGACATTTTCAGGGTGCCATTGTTGCACTTTTTCAGTGTGCTAACTTTATGCTGTCCCGAGGACTGCTCAGAATAGAATACATACTCCTTTTGGGATTCTGAAATAGGCATGCTGTACATAGTTTGTAATTCCAGATACTAAATATGTCCATTAAGGATTCTTTTCCTAATCGTTGCTGGAGAGGATGATTATTTTGTTTATGTCACAGTGTCTTATTGAATCATGTAGTAGTAAGCAGACTTTGACTTTATATACATATGTTGAATCTGCTATAACAGCCATCTGTATTTTTATATGACAATCAAGTGTGCAAACTGCCACTTCCCATCCCCTCCCCCCCCCCTGCATTTTTTACATTAAAATGACACTGTGTAAGACATCCAACTGTCAAAGACAACCACTTTTCTCCTGGACAATGGCTGGCCATCTTACACAAATTTGACTGTATTTTGTTAAAGAAATGAAGGTGTTACATTTTCTGAATTTCTTCTTCTTGTTTTAGTGTTGTTCGTCTCATTGAGCAGTACCTGAAAGAGAACAACTTGCTGAGGACACTAGCATGTTTGCAGGTAAGATCTGTTGTAGCTATTTTTTTAGAAATAAATGCTGTTGAAAAATGACTCATTTATGACACTGTGTGTTTGAGGGGTTTGAATTTGGATATTTATTTAAGGAAATGACTTTAAGCTATTTCTAAATGTTGGTTTACAAATTTACTGTGGATTTGTTTTTCATTGAGATTTGCCTCAGTACAACTTATCTTCTTCTTTTCTTGTCATTGCAACTAGCATGATCATGATTCCCCTTTTGTTTTACAGTGGTTCCTTGGAACAAAAATCTTCAAAGTTCTAACTTCATGCCAGACACAAACAAAATTATTTTTGAAGCCTTCACATTTGTTGTTTTTTGAAAAATTTATACTCGTTATAGGCATCTTTTATATCCACTGGTACAACATTGGGATATTTATGTTATGGAAACTGCAATTCAGCAAGGCACCAGCACCATTGCTAGGTGCTGCTTCTCTTTGCTTTTGATCTTGGGTTAGTCTGTCTTGCTTTTTTGAAAGGATACAAACAAACCTTACTGATTTCCCTTCTTTGCTATATCTTGCTGCCACTTCTTGCACTGATTTTTTGGTGTGAACCATGTTTACTGTACTGTCTGCTTGGTTATTGGTTTTTGTGTAACCACCAACTCTCCATGAAGCCCCTGTGGAGCAAGCATAGTTGTATATAGGACAGGCTATTCTTTGTCAATCATAAAGGGTGATTTGCTCTGTTTTAAACTGTTACATTCAAAGTTTTTTTCAGCAGTGTGTGTTGCTGCATTATGAAAGCTAATTTTTGACTAGTGTTTCTTCTGAATAGGACAAGTAGGACTACATATTTTGAGGAAATACTGTCAATGTCTTGTTATTTTATTTAATAAGAATTTTCATCGTGTCTTTCTCTGGTAGAATGAATCTAATAATAAATAAATGGAATGTATGAATGGAACTGAATTAAATACAACATTCCCATCCACACGAGATACAGTGTTTACTTTTCTGTCATTTTCTATATATGGTGTGTGATCATTCGCCACACTTTTCCCTCCTTGGACTGAGTCTATTGATTCTCATTATCTCATGTGTAATAGTCTACACAACTGTGGTAGTCAAAAAGTCTCAGATTGCCATCTTATGATGTATTGGTACTGATGTAGCACAGTGCTAAGAGATTTTGTTTTGTTTTTGTGACCATCAGGAAGAGAGTGGAATCTCCTTGAACACTGTGGAGTCTGTGGACAGTTTCATCTCGGACATCACAGCTGGGCACTGGGACAGCGTTCTCCAAGCCATTCAGACTCTCAAGTTGCCGGATAACACACTGGTAGACCTCTATGGACAGGTAAGTTTCTGGCTTGAAGCCCCATTTGAGTACCGTCCTGTTCTCTTTTTCTTTTTCTATTCCAATAAGTCTTGTATTCAGACGATTATGTCCTGTCTTGTGATATGAAATACTAAAAAAGGGTTGAATCTATGGGATTTTGTGTTTGAGTAGGTGTGTGATTGTGGGTGGTAGGTGGGTGCTCTGGTGTGGTTTGCTCCTTCTTTCCTATCAAACATCTGTCATCTTTATCTCCCCTCCTTCTTTTTTGTGTTTGTTACTCTCTTGTAACACCTCTAATCTTCAGCACTTATATGACCTTATTGTGTTGCAAGTGCCGTAAAACTCGTACTAATACAAGGTGTGTGATTTTGTTCATGTTGTTATGATTGTATGGTACAAACAAGTTAGTGGTGCTTGTGTGCTCAGCATAGCTTTGGTATAATGTACTTTCTCTAGGCCAGATACTTGTTTGTTGTGGTAAAAACAGTGCAGGTAAACTTTCCAGTGTATTGGAACCAAGAAAAATGTGCTTTGTAGTGAAGGGTACGCTTCATATATTGTTGTAGTTGAGTTAGACCAGGATAGTATAAATACTGTTGTTTTGCGAAAGTAAACAACTTGTGTTTCGCGCGCTCATATGACCTTAGCAGTTGCGAGCGCCGTAAAACCCTATACTACATACATACATACAAATACTGTTGCGCTTGTTCTAACGGCCACCTGAATAAAACAATCACCTGTACATATGGCCTCTTCCCATTTCCCTCCTTGCATTTTTTTCAACCTATAATGACATTTGTGTAAGATGTCACCTGTCTAAGGCAGCCACTTTTCTCCTCGACAATGGGTGGCTGTCTTAGACAATTTCAGCTATACAGGTTTTTTGGAAGCTTCAAAGCAAAGAAATGAATGGTGAACCATACTAACCAGTTTCTGCTTCAGACCTGGCAGCTCATGGTGATGACTCTTTTAAGTACAACAACAGTTATTCAATGTCTTTTGCAATTTTCTCTCGTCTTTAGATTGTGTTGGAGCTCATCGAACTGCGTGAGCTTGGGGCAGCTCGTTCTCTGTTGAGACAGACAGATCCCATGATTATGATGAAGCAGAGTCAGCCAGACCGATACATACATTTGGAGAACATGTTGGCTAGGTCTTATTTTGATCCCAGAGAGGTAAGTACCTTTTTATTTATTTTAACTGCCTTTCCAATTGCTTTATTTCTCAAAGCTGCTGCTCTTGCAGTAAATGTGTTAAGCTCTGTCATTGGAAATAATATTATAAGAATGTAAGACAAATGAGTAGTCCTTGATATCTTTTATCTCAAAATGGCTAATTTATGGTAGGGGTCAAAGACAAAATTTTTATTTTATATTTCTGCAGCCACATTGTGTCATATTTCAAAGTCTAATAGATTGCTTTTCAAAAGCATTCCATCCCCAGGCAAGTCATGGATGGATGGTATTTTTTTACATCGAAATAAGTTCAAGCTGCAGAAAACAAAAATATAAATATGTACTGAAACATATAAAGTTCTTTTACAAATTTTGGATGAATTATATGTAGCATGAACATTTGGAGAATAGGAATCAAATGATGTGTTTTTAGTTGTAAACATTAGAGCAGTCTTAAGTCTAAACCTCGGTTAACTTTTGAAGTAATTTTTTCAGCTTCGTAGCTGTGCACTAACAATGACAATCTTTATTTAACCTGCACATCCCCTCGACATCCTAAAGATACCAGAGGAAGAAAAAAGTAAAAGTAAGTAATCTTTATTCATCTCACAGGGAGAAATATGTCTTATATGGAGTGATTGCAAGATAACTGATATGTTCAAAATTTATCAAGTGTAAAGAGTAAGAGAGAAATTCAATTAAACTTGTTTTTTTCCCTAGGCTTATCCAGAAGGTCAGACGAAAGAGAAACGTCGGGCGGCCATTGCTCAGGCTCTGTCCGGCGAGGTGAACGTTGTGCCTCCGTCCAGACTGTTGGCTCTGCTGGGCCAGTCCCTGAAGTGGCAGCAACACCAGGGACTCCTGCCACCAGGTGAGACAGACACTTTTCTTCTTCTTCTTCTTCGTCGGTGGCGTAGTGGTTGGGCTCTCGGAGGTTGCGAGTTCAAATCACATCTGTGGCCCTACGTTGTGTCCTTGGGAAAGGCACTTTACCCGAAGTTTCCTCACTTCACCCAGGTGGGAATGGGTACTCGGCTACAGACAGCAAAAGATCTTGTCAGTTTGTTTGTGTTTGCATCAGCAACTTGTCAAATTCTCTACTTCTTGACATGAGTCGTAGATGGTTGACCCGTGTGGATTGCTCCTTCTTTCCTATTAAACATGGTACCATCCTTATCTCTCCTCATTCTTTTCTTTGTACATCATGTTACTTTCTAGTAACACCTCTAATCTTTGGCACTGATATGACCTGTTGGTCTTGCTCGTAGGTGTTGTAAAACTCTTACTGAAACTTACTAGAGTCACTTATCATTCTTCCTGGTACTTGATCTTCAGTTGTCCGAAGAACTTGTTGTTCATTTTTCGTTTCTTCTTTCAGGTACCACCATTGATGTGTTCAGGGGTAAAGCAGCTGTCAAAGAGCAGGAAGAAGAAAAATATCCAACCCAAATGAGTCGACAGATCAAGGTAGGGGCCATTGATATTTTTTCAGGATATTTTACAATTTTGCATTGTTAGAGAACTTACATAATGATAAAGTCATATATTATAAATCTCAGCTTTGATAATAATAATGATAGATTGCATCTATGCAGTGCTCTAAGCCGTACAAGTATAAGCTCAGAGCGCTGTTCGTCAATGACATGATTACCGAGAGTGAAACCTCATACACAGAAGAAAAAACTTTTCATATTAACAAGAGAACCAGTTCAACTGCACAAGACAGAACTTTATACGTGCCTCTGCACCCTGTAGTTGACAAGGTGTACTATTTTCTTCGATCTGTAAAGTTACTTTGACCCAATGTTTGTTATTAAGATTTTATTTCCAGTTGAAAAGGAGTAGTGTATGAGGGAGAAAAAAAAGTTTTATTGTTTTTACATCTCGTCTTATATATTTCCAGTTTGATTCAGGTGTTGGTGGTTGCACTGTTTTCTCAAACAAGAAATATATCAAATATAACCAGATATTTAGAGTTAGAATGGTCAAATAAATTGTAGTGTAAGAGGTTGTAGTTAAAAGCTCTTGCTTTTCACCTGTGACGTACTGTGTAACGACAAGCTTTTTGGACCAGCTTCTAAAATATATCGATTGTATTGACGTTATTTTTTTCTCAGAAAGAGAATTTTACTTGTTGATTTATAGCTTAGGAGTAAACAAGAAAACAAGGACAAATTCTGTTGTTAGCTTCTATTACATAACATGGCTGGCCACAAATCCCAGTGTGTATAAATATACTTTCATCTACTTTTATGTGGTTCCTTTTTCAAGGATATTGTTGTGGGGTTTCATGTAACCTTTACAATCAATTTTGATCTCTCTCTCTCTCTCTTTTTTAAACTGTAGTTTGGTAACAAAGCTCATGTGGAGTGTGCAAGATTCTCACCAGATGGACAGTACCTGGTCACAGGCTCAGTGGATGGGTTTGTGGAAGTCTGGAATTTCACCACTGGCAAAATTCGAAAAGATCTCAGATACCAGGCACAGGTGTGTATGTTACTTATCTTGTTCTCATTTTGGGTGGAATTTGAAAGTAGAGCCTTAATCATGCTATCAGATCTTAATGAGTGGCTGTTATGTTCCTGTCTTACGTTCACTCAATCTTTGTCTGAGACTTTATTACAGCAGTAATGCCTACTTATGTCTTTACTTTCTTCTTCAATGAATCTAAAAAAGATTCCTTTTGAAAATATGTTTTGATTTAAATTTAGAGATTAAAATATGCTTATGACATGCAAATAGCGGTCAGTACTGCGCTGTTGCTTGTAGATTTTGAAGTTAAGTTGACGTATGCTCTATATAGTTCAATCTCAGTTCAGAGGAATAAAAAAAAGTTCAGTTCAGTATTTTCACTCAAAGACATTTTCCAGTTGTCCCTCTAAGCTCAGACCTCCATGGATGCATCTTACCAAAGTTCTGAATATTGAGGATGAATTATTGCGCAATAAGTGAGCTTTTAACAAAATAATTGATCTTTATTAGGCGGTAGTTCCCTACGAGACAGATTAAAACAAAGAATAAGGTCAGTTTTGTCCCTTTTTCATGGGGGGGGGGGGGGGGGGGGGAGTTTTGTGCAGCAGTTAGATGCACTGGAAAATATTTTTGTGTGATATACTTAATAGCATAATTTGAGAGGCATTTTTTAAAATAGATGTAACAATTTCTCCCTCAGGACAACTTCATGATGATGGATGAGGCAGTCCTCTGTATGAGCTTCAGCAGAGACTCGGAGATGTTAGCTACCGGTGCACAGGATGGGAAGATCAAAGTCAGTTGGGAGTTCACTCTATGGAGATGATTTATTTCAAATTTCATCACTTTTTCTTCTGTTATTCTCTTGATTTTGTCTTATGTTGATCTCAATATTTTGTATTTTATTGTTCTGTGGACATTTTGACATTTTGACACCATCTGGTTTTCAAGATCTCTATACCAGAACCAAAGTTTTGGTGGAATGGGCTTTCTCATTTGCAAAAGCACAGACTGAGTCAAATGAATTTTCCGTTGCATTATAGAGAGTGTAGATAAGAATCTTTTTGTGCTGTAAACATGCTACACTGTCCCCTCTTTCTGTTTTTATTCTACTTACATGTTTGTTTTATATATGAATAATCTGTGAATTTCTGTTCAATCTATAGGTTCTAACCAATTTTGAGTCCTTGCTGAATCATACCTATGGGTAAATTACTTTCCAGAGTCCTTGTATTTTACTTTATGTTGTTTATCAAATTAAATGTTGGGTGCAAATGGAAAACTTGTCCACCAATTAAAGCTTTCGCTCATCTCGGGAAAATCATGTACCGTAGTTTTTCTGAAGGTTTTTTTTTCTTCTTCCAGTTTGCTGTACATTTCTTATTACCACGTGCATATCATGTTCTCTTGGTCATGGACAGGTTTGGAAGATTGTCACCGGTCAGTGTTTGAGGAAATTTGACAAGGCTCATGGCAAAGGTGTGACGTGTGTGAATTTTGCTCGAGACAACAGCCAGCTTCTCACTGCCTCTTTTGATCAGACCATAAGGTATGTGCCAGCTGTAGTGTAAAAGTCCTCCTATTTCTCTAGCTCTATTTTGAATACTGACACACTTTTTCTGGCTTAATCAGTTTACAGTGAAGGCGCCGCTGAAATTGAAATCTGCGGGATTGTGTAAATTTCTTTAGTTAAACTGTTTTTAGTTTAAACAGATTTTTTTTAGGTTAACCACTGTTTTCAGATTAACAATGTTTGGTTTGAGCAGGCTCCGCTGTATACAGTAGCTTATGAGCTAGTTGTAAATTCATTGGAATATCTATTCTTTGAAGTGTGACTGATTAATATTATTTCTCTTTTTTTTTCTTGTCCCCTCAGAATTCACGGGATGAAGTCGGGCAAAACTTTGAAAGAGTTCAGAGGACATACTTCATTTGTCAATGATGCTGTGTTTTCCCCTGATGGTCATCATATTCTCAGGTTGGATCTTATTCAAATTAATAAGTTAAACAACAGGTTCCATGTCACAGCCGACTATCTTTCATGACATTTATGATTTACGATATATACACATTTTAGTTCCCAGTTTTATTTTTTAGATGTAGTTGGCAATTGTGGTGAATGGTCAGTGAGAGTGAATCTGCTCAATACGGCCACAATTTCTTTTGGGCAGATAGGGATCATTTGTACATCATAAAAAGAAATGTAAGGGTCAAAGTGACTCAAAGCACCCACAAGCTGCTCACAGTAGAAGGTCTCGAACAAATCATAAGGTTTTCTGTTCATGTTTTGACTGTTCTCGAAATTGAAGGTTTGACAGCATGACTTGTCTAGCTTGCAAACACCAAAATGCAAGAGCACACAAATAGGCAGAGGTCGTGAGAGAAAGGGGGGGGGGGGGAGCATAGCGTTGGTTTGTTGTTAACACTCTCACTTCCATGTCAGCACATTTGTCAGTTGCGATAACTACACCAGCCATTCCTGAGGTCAAACATTCAGGATTCTAACTTCTGGTGAGAAAAGAGGATCTAATTTGTGATAGTGACAGTGAGACCGATGATGAGATTGCCCCTAGGTTGTAGATGGAAATAATTGACTGCTCCTTGGAAAACTCCTTCATATAGTCATTTTTTCAAATTGGCGTAAGGCAGAGTCTTACACTATGCAGTCTAAATGATGTTGATGGTCAACATCAAGTTTCCCTATCTTATCTACATATCTATAGAAATTAAAGCATCTACATCTTTATCTGCTTTTTGTTTGGCCTTCTTCCAGGTCTAGATTTACCAGTGATATAGATACAAATAGAGCAATCACTTATGATACAGATAGTGCTGTCTATGCTCCTGCTACCCTAAATCAGCATTTTTTAAAAAAGATTTTCACACAAAACTGATCTGTATTACCCCAAAGCTGTCTACCATCACAATTGCTTTAAGTTGTTTATTGACATTCAATGTCTGGGGGGGGTTTGGTTTTTAAAAACTTTTTCTATGTATTTTTATCCAGTAGATGATTTGTGGAAAGAAACCAGATCCATTTTGAAAAACAAAACTATTCTAGTAGATTTTGACATGTATAACAAATGAATTAAGAGAGCTTAAAAATTTTTTTTGCGGAATAAGGTCAATCGATGAACTCTGTTGGGGTATATTTTCATGCTTGATAATAATGCCAGATTTTAGTTTAGTAGAGGTTTTACGGTGCTCGCAACTGCATAAGGTCATATGAGCGCCAGAAGATTAGAGGTGTTACAAGAGAGTAACAAACAAAAAAACAAACAATCTGGCATAGTGGGTGGTTGGCAGGTGCTCTGGTGCGGTTTGCTTCTTCTTTCCTATGACACATCTATTGTCCTTATCTCCCCTTCTTCTTTTTTATGTTCATAAAAAAGCAAGGCGCCCTGTTAGTCTCAAATGGCCAGTGAGTGAGTTAATCTGCTCATCATTTTAATGTTTTGTACCCCATTTTGTTCCCCTGCAGTGCTAGTTCAGATGGAACCATCAAAGTGTGGAGCGTGAAGACCACCGAATGTCAGAACACCTTCAAGTCACTGGGCAGCGTGTCGGGAGTAGACACGACGGTACACAGCGTGCACATTCTGCCGCGTAACGCTGAACAGTTTGTCGTGTGCAACCGTTCCAACACAATAGTCATCATGAATTATCAAGGACAGGTTGGTTACTTCTAGTTTACTATAGTTGTTAAGTGTGTGTATGGGTGTGTGTATGTTATGCGCACGTGTGTGTGTGGGTGGGTGTACGTGGTGAAACACCAAACAAATGTGCCAGGATTTGGACAATAATGATTTATCTTATCTTTTCTTAAAGTTGTACATGAAATAAATGTTTGTAACCATGACTGTCCTTTCATTTTACAGAACTTTTGAAGAAAGAAGGAATGGTGTTGGAAGGCGATAAGAGTAGTTAGAGTCGATTTCCTGAATGTCTGTTTAGTACAAAGTGCGCAACTGTGGCTTGAAAAGGGCCTTTTTGGAAAGAGGCCAAAATAAAATTCTTATGCTGTGCCACAAATGTTGAACCCAGCTTTTCTTGCCTGTTAATTGTAGTTTCTGCCAAATAAAATTTTTCAGTTGTTGATGGTTTTGTGCTACCTAACTTATTGTTGAGATCTTCTGCATGCCCTGTTGCTATATATAGTAGTATCTATGTCGCTGTCAGAGAGATTCTGATTGCAAGACAAACAAGAAAATGAATGTTTAGTTTGTAAAGAGGTTTTACTTTTCTTTTTTTTAAATTTGCTTTTCCAATTTCCTGGGTCTTTCTTGTTTTCTTGTTCCTCAATTCTAAAATGAAATTACATAACTACACAAGGGCATATATGGGTGCTCTAATGTGGTTTGTTCCTTTTTTAACAAATGTCTGTCATCCTTATCTTTCCTCCTTCTGTTCTTTGTATGGTACTCTCTAGTAACACCTCTAATCTTCGGCACTTATTTAACCTATTTGTGTTGCAAGTGCCATAAACTCTTACTCTTATTGAAACTAAACAAAGAACAACAGTAACATGATATTTTATTCTTCCTCTCTTTGTATCGTTCAGATTGTGAGGAGTTTCTCCAGTGGTAAACGAGAAGGTGGAGACTTTGTGTGTGCAGTGCTGTCCCCTCGTGGCGAGTGGATCTACTGTGTGGGGGAGGACATGGTGCTCTACTGCTTCAGCGTCAGCACCGGCAAACTGGAGAGGACTCTCACGGTGAGAAGCTCGTGCCATTTAGTCGAATTTGCCGTATGCTGACAAAACGCTATTTTTTCTTCGGGGCTATTTCGAGAAAATGAGTTTTGTTGTCAGCGTATCCATTTAAAAATGAGTCATTCTGAAATTTGATTTATAATTTATTTAAAAACTAGTCTCGGTCTCAATTTGATTTTTACACACAAGTAGGGTAACGAATATAAGAAAGCGACAGGCAAATTTCCTCAGACACACCATGCGGAAAGAAGCATTGGAGAATATTGTAACAACAGGCAAGTTTGATGGAAAGAGAGGCAGAGGCAGACAGAGGGAAAAGATACTGGGCAATATGACAACATGGCTAGGAGCAGCAAGAACAACGGACACCATTTCTGCAACGCAAGACAGAGTGAAGTGGAGGTCCATGATTGCCCACGCCAGTCGGCAAGGTACCGGATGATGATGATGATGGGGGTAACTGATCAGGCTTTTAATTTAGCAAATAATAAATTTTGGCGACGTTATGAAGAAAGACTTTTTGTCAGCTTACGGCAGTATTGACCCCTTTGTTGCCTTATGACATACCTGGTGTGACAGGAAAATACGTAAATTTTAGCTTTAAGCATTCCATAGACGCCACAGAAGTTTGCCGACCTAGTTGCCTATATGACGTTACATGAACGTCCTGCTATTCGTCTGACTCTCTAATTCTTCTGTACGGAGACATCACCTGATGCTTTAATAATTGTAAAGTGGTTAGAGCATGCGGCAGAGTGTGGATATAATACACTCTATAAATCATCATCATCATCATTGCCTTTCTCACCCTGGGTCAGGGTATAGGCCACGAACAAACACTTTCCACCTTTCCCTATCCTGGGCTAGCCTCTTGATATTATTCCATATTTTCCCACTTTTCTGTACATCGATTACTGTTACTCTTCTCCAGGTTCCATGTGGTCTTCCCCTTGGTCTTTTACCATGTGGGTTTTAATCCAACACTACTCTATAAATTCATAGCTGCCACTTTCCCGTTAAATGTGTGTGTGTGTGTGTGTACGTGTGTGTGTGTGTGTGTGAGTGTGTGTGTTTGGCATACATGTGTGCGTGTTATGTGTTCGTGAGTGTGTATGCGTGTGTTTGTGTGTGTGTATATGTATATGTGTGTGTGTTTGTGTGTATATGAGTGTGTGTGTGTGTGTGTGTGTGTGTGTCGCGTGCATGAATATTTTTCTTACATGCATTTATGTAAAGCGCCTAGAGCTGTGTTTACACGGGAGTGGGCGCTATAGAAATGATCTTCATTATTATTATTATTATTATTATTAAATAGCGGAAACTCTGCTTTATCTAGCTTTTCCCGCTACTTTCCTCCTTCCTCCGATGGACCGCTCTCTGTCACAAATTGCGATACTTTTTTTTTTAAACGCGGAAAACACCGAACCGGGAGAGAGATGAAAATGTGGCTTGCGCATGTCCGCCCGTAGCTTTCTACTTCCGTTCTTCTAGGCCTAGTGCTAGTTTCACATTGTTTATTGTTGTGGAGCAACATAGTTTCGATCATAATCAGTGTATCAAATTTAGTCAGATTCTTTGAAGCTGAATTACGAACTTATATTTGTTATTTTTATTGTACTTTCTTCTCCTAAACACAGCACATTACAACATTGTATTGTGTCAGCTTGCATCTCACCATTCCTCTGCAGATTCATCCGTTTTCTTTGTTTTTATCTGGAGATCTGCATCTTTGAGTTCGCTTCTTTATAATATTACTTTTGTGTATCCATTCATCTTCAGCTTTTTTGGTTGGGTTGTATTAAATTTTGCCTGCACTGTTGAGTATCCGAATTGGCCCGGGGACTGACTGGTGAGGTAAAAAAAAAAAAAAGTTGAACATCAACACATCGCGAGCTCCGTGCTTTCTTGTCCTATCTCCTCTTTCTAATATTGAAAATGTGACTTCTTCTTAAGCTCACTCTTTGTTATTTATTAACTGTTTTCACTGTTATTTAAAATGGAGATAGGACAAGAAAGCACTGAGGTCATGACATGCTGCCTGAAAACCATAAGACCATGATGGGGAGATGGGATAGGCAGGGCAAGGAGCAAATCATGACAAGTGCTAGATACAGGCTTAATTGGCTGAGATGTATGTGGGAGAGAGATTATCTTGCAGCCGTCGAATTTGCTGTTTGTGTTGTGTTCCAGTTCACTGACGGTTTAGTGGACTAATTTACTTTAGTTTCATGTACCGTACAGTTCGGGCAGTTTGTGTAAAGTCATCTCCAATAGGTAGGATGGAAAATAAATGGACCTATGGCACAGAGGGAGTTTCAATCATTTCAACTCATGGAAATCTATACTCAAATGTGCTTGTCTCACAGTTACTAGGAGACACTGTTCTTCCTCCCTTCTTCAGAAACTAGGCTAGGCTTCTTCCTTTAGGCTCTCGGACTCGCAACCGTAAGGTCGTGGGTTCGAATCCCGTCAGGGACCCGACGTTGTGTCCTTCGGAAAGGCACTTTACACGAATTTTCCTCACTTCACCCAGGTGGGAATGGGTACCCGGCTATAGACAGTGAAAGATCTTGTCAGTTTGTTAGTGTTTGAGCGCTTAATCGGCTGCTTGCACTGTATGCTTCCCGGGAAGCTGAGAATGTTTCGGAGTGTTCTGTGGTCTGCTGGGGTAATAATATAGTGTAAAGCACATAGAGACTGCTGCTGAGCGGGGATATGCGCTATACAAATGCTATCTATTATTATTATTATTAAATAATCCAAGAAAAGGCACTGAACTGAAGCTGAATCTTTCTTCTGTACAGGTTCATGAGAAGGACGTCATTGGGATTTCTCACCACCCACATCAGAATCTGATTGGCACGTACTCTGAGGATGGACTGCTCAAACTATGGAAGCCATAAGCCACGAGCGAGATACTTCCACTGACAGCAAACATCCTGACCTTGACCAGTTCCTTGTCACTTTCATTGCAATTACAGTATAACACGGATAGGTCGAACACAGACGACTCAAAATCATGGGACTGTGCCTGCGGTTCCGGTTTTTTCTTCTTTCTTTATCTTTGTAAGATATGCCTCGAACTACCGAGGCCGGTCCCGACGAATTCCAACTATCCGTGTTATACTGCATGTACACAAGTCCAAGTGTCATGGCATATTTTTTTGTATTTCCGTGTTTGATGCCATTATTCCATCATAATGTTTTTGTCAAATGGTGTAGTGTATCTTGTGAAAAAGAGAACAATAAACACCTTCATTCATAAATTGACACCTTTATTCCTATTCTCAACTTCAAAGTATTAAACAACAGAGTCACAGTCCTAACAGTCGTAAGGAGGAGGGGCCAGAGAGTGTGCTTCAACGGTTTATAATTGTGAGAGACAGAATAATTGCTGACTCTATAGTTCTAAATTACAGTAGGTACAGATACACAATTTTCTACGACTTTGTTAACAAATCAGCTACTTTTAAGGGGGAATCTGTTTTCACCTGACCCGAGTCTGTTTTCTAATACTTTCATGCTGATTTTATTAATGAAGTGAGTACAAAAGGAACACAAAAAAATTTATTGCACATAGTTCAAAATTGCATAATACGGGTAAATTATGAGGATGAAAGAATTTGTACAACTGTTGCTCCATGCAGATGTCATTGGTCTTCACACGAAGTAATAAATCAGATAAGCTAATAAACAGGCTACATTGAAATAAAAACTTCATACAAACTACACATAAAGGTAAGAAAAAAATAAAGAAGAAAAATGTATAGTTGGTAAAAGGAATGTAAACTTTTTGTACAGTGCTGTTCATCAAAGTAGAGAGATCAGCACATGTATGTGATAGATTATGGAAAGAAGAGGAAGCTAATGAATTATTAGGCATTCTGTACTGTAAAATCCTGATTGAGCTCATCATTTTCTTGCACACGGAATCTGTATGTATGGTACGTAAAAAATGTATACATAAACTAACAAGTCCAGTCTATATATTTAGTAGAGGACCAGCAGTATAACACTGAACAAAGGAGAATAAAAAGGTACCATGGGTGTTTTTACGCTCCCATTGACACAATTTAGATCATTTAGGAGGCAGGCTTCTAACCCTGCCTGTCAGGGCCAACCTTAGTCAAGAGGGATACAACATCCCAGGAGAAAGATGGAGATACCGGTACTCCATTAAAATTAAATTTTCTCCCCACTCAGGTTCGCGCTCAGGTGTCCTGCATGCGACAACAAAGCCCATAACAGCTACAACAGAGACACCAGTGAACAAAAGAAAGGGCTCGAAAGGCTTACAACGTGGAACAATGTCCATGTCTTTGGTACGGGGATGAACCCAGTTCCTCCAATTGCAGCAGAAACTAACTCTGGCAGGTTGTAGTGGGCAAATACATCCAAACATTTCTAAAAGATGGATACTTAGAATGTTGAAGACCTTTGCACCTCATGCATTGCAAGACTCATCTCTATAAATATTATAAAAAGGTTCCAGTTTGAACTTCCAAACAAGACAAAAGCCCTGTTGATTTAAAGACTGATGTTGGTGCATTTCATGCGAGTAAGGTTCACTTGAAAAATCTGGACCACACAAGATTTTTTTTCTTTATCAATAATTTACATATTACATTTTTTTTTTTTTACTTAAAAATTTCCTGACACAAGGGTTGCTATGAAAAAGATGATGGAAACTTATAATAATGATGGCCTCTCTAGGCCTATGAGACACCCAAGAAATGGCAACCTGACCAAATCCATCAGCCTAAAGAAAAACCCGAACAAGAACTGCTTTTTCCAATCACAACCACGCTGCAGTTAACATGTCTCAATTCCATGCCATCCCTTCCTCCCCTCTTTTGCACTCTGTCCGTCACAAAGGCGTGAAAGCTTAATCGGGATTTTACAGTGCCTTGTTTCTTTCTCCCCACTCACACAGGTGTCTTCTATGGTGACAATCTCCTCTCTACTTCTGTACAATTTACAGCTATACATGTATACACTGACACTGAAACAAAGCATGCAACATCACAATAGGGCAGCTCACAGATCTCCAGGTAAACCACAGTGGAACGTAAACAACAAAATATGTGTATAGTTATATTATATGGAAGGTTGGTGGCCATCAAACACTAATTTTATAGGGTGACCGGCTAGATATTTAGTGTGCCGCATATATATATATATATATATATATATATGAGGACTTTACCTTTATTCTAGTGGAAAAGTCAAAAGCATTAAAGCTTTTTTTATAGCTCACAAAAGGTTAAAAAACCCAAAAAAACGAGAGAGATTGCTGTATTTGTAAAAAAAAAAAAAATGTGACCTCTTTGACCATAACAGTAACATGTTCTTCCCTTGAACTGAAAACAAAATACATAACCGTGCAACATTCACTCTTTTGGATACACCATATGGCTAGGATGAGGAAGGAAATTTTCATCTCTCAATTTTCATAAGAAAAAAAAATTGTGAACTTTGTTCACACCATCTACAAGGGAGTAGCGAACACAAAATTAGGTAGCCCTATAAACACAAACTTGCCCCCTTATGCATAAATATAAGAAGTCAAAGGATAAACACAATTGAGGCCAATATAAAGAAGTGAAAAAGTGAGATTCATTTGCAACAAAAAAAGTATGTCATGTTCACAACTGCAAATCTAAAGACTTGAAGAAAGATTTCTTCTTAAGTGGGTATTCACATTTTAGAAATGAGCATCTCGCTGTGCAAAACGCTAAGTTTTTGCCTTTCAATTATGAATAAAGCTGCCAGACAGAAGTGGCAGCCTGCTATTCATGTTGGGATTTTAGACATGCCAGGAAAACTGACCTTTGTACAACAGGAAGGCAGTGAAGTGAACCCACTCAAATGATCTCACAAACTCAATTAGCCTTCATGAATGTCTCCGGCAGAACAATTCATTGCGTAAAACAAGAGGAATGTAGGCATATTGTATTAGGTAAAGGGGCCACGGAGGGGATTCTTTAAAAAAAAGCATTCTCACAACCGTTTAAAACTGTAGACTGTGTAAATCAGGAAAACAAGGAATTGTCATGCATGTGGAAAAGCTAAATGGTCTGTCTATATTATAATTACATGTATCACAATACTGGCATCACATAGTATGGATTTCATTGTTGTCTTATTGCACATCACCATGAACTGTCTGAATAAATAAGGAATTTCCATCATTTAAGACTACTTTCAATCACACCTGAAGCGTATACATCCATGAGTAGGATCTTTCACTTCATGTAATCTCTGACGTCTTATCTTACACTGTTAGACAAGTCTCGTGGACTGTAGACTCCAAGAACCATTCAGAGACAGGCTTTACCACCTATCCTTGTCATTCTTACAAGGCAAAAATACGAAGAGAAAAATGCACAGTAAAGAGCGTATTGATATTCAGAACGAGAAATCAGAAGCCAAATTACATGCAGCAATGTGTGTAGAGGGAATGTGTCATCATAATGATAGAAGTCTCCTTGTGCCGCTGAATAAGGCAAAGCAAGTATTTGTAGGTGGTGGTATATAATGTTGGTGACACACTCCTGCACAGCTCTACATGACAACATGTCTGAATTAAGTATCAAGGCTTTCTAAATCGTTTTCATTATAGACAAGAAAGAACAATGAAATGGATCACAAATTTATCACATCCTTCAATGAGAGAATGACATGTCTCTTAACGAGTGAGATATATAAAGATAATGGAAAGCTAAGAAGTAATACTTGCTACCAAGTAAAAATACCGCACATTTTCAGAGCTGGGAGTGTAAATGCAGGTGTGAGACTAAACTACTGTCTTTTACAAATATGCAAATTGTCAAGTGGGACGAAATTGCACACAAAATTATCAAACAGCAGGGAAAGCGCAAGCTCCCCATTCATATCCCAGACTCTGAGCAAAGCAATAAAACACACTTCCACCCTCTCGAGACAATTCGAATAATCACACATTCGCCCACGTATTTTATTACTTCATGCATATCAAATAAAAAAAACCCAAAAATGAGTATGTCAATGGCCTATTCCTCCACGGAGCGGAACTGAATTATAATAACAGGTTTCAACAGTGTGGTTAGAACAAAGTCATGGACAAAAACCTGTAGAGGTTGTGAGATCACAGAGATAGTTAGTTCTCCATTGCTTAGGATGCGGCAGCACAGCACACCAGAGTGAATACTTGAGTGGAAGAGGATATATATATATATACACATAAAATATATATATACCCTAGGCTACCAGAGAAAGCACGGCAAAGAATAGCAAGCCCACTATCTGATCCTGTGATGGTTATGGTTTGCTCGTGGTGCATGAACACTGTGAGATTATAACAGTAGCAGCAAATATCACAAAAAAATACCTATAATAATAATATTATTATGTGAAACTAATTTTGCCATGCAAGTTGTAGATAGAAGCCCTCACATGCACCTGATAAAGCATCTTGCGTAATGTTCGCAGACTCCTCTATACTACATATCTATGACCTCTTGGGTGTTCATTTCTTCAACACAAACCACCACTATCTCCAAATCTATGCAAGATTCTACATCACAGACCATATGTTACAGTATAACAAACAATAAAAAGTTAAGCGAAGGGGCTTGCCTAAGGGTAAAAAAGATGCAACACAACCAAATAATACTATTGGCTAACCCTTATCACAAGCTGATGATAAAATCCAAAATCTCCCGTAACCTTCCTTGCACAATGTGATAAAAGACACTGAAATAAATCAAAATAGCTTTGTAACTTTGTAACTGACAATCTTAGTACAGATTACTAAAATCTTTTAACACACGCAACAGTCCATGACGCCATTCCATATCACTGGTAAATGGCTCAATAATTCTTTTCACCCCTATCTTCTGAGCACTGATTTCGTCCCCAGACAAAAGAAATTAAATTGAAAATAGATCTGAAATATTAAACCAGTGCATGCTTTCAAAAAATTGGGCCCTCTGTGGAATGTCATTTTGACAATAATACAAAAGTCCATCACTGACACTCTATGTAATACTAATGTTGGGGGTACTGGGGGGGGGGCATCAGCAAAAATTCCACTTCACAATACGAAACCAGGCCTTCATTAAAAGGAAGATTACATGACTACTTGTCATCTCCTAAGAAAACATCTGTCAAACTTTGCTATAAACTTCCTAGCCTAACATTAAGAAGCAGAAGGAGTAAAAAAAAAAGAGAAGTTACAAATGACTTGACAACTTTCTTAAAGGACATATCCCCTGAACACCATTAATACTCATTTTGAAAAGAAGCTTGTTTGTGATGAAAACTACAGCTAGGATCATAGACCATCAACACAAATTACCAAATCCCAAGCAGGAAATAAGGTTTTGATCAAACAAAAGTCATCAATCAATTCACCCCCAGAAATGACAGAGATTTTATGGTTTGCTGGGAATTTTTAAAAGTACCAACCCCCCTCCCCCCCCCAAAAAAAACCCCCCAAACAAAACCCAACCCCAAACCAAAACAACAAAGGAACAAACCACGCTCCAACCCCGTTTTCATCTAGGCAGCTTCTTTCTGCCAACAGAAAAAGACAAAACATTGCAATACAGCTGTTCTGGTGGTTAGTCGGACTCGTCACCACTGGCGGCCGTGGATGAGCTTGCCGGCTTGCTGAGAAATGTCCTCCCGCTGCCCTCGGACTGGGTTACAGACTGGGTTGCTTCTTCAACCTGAATAGAAAACACGAGCAGGAATCAAATTCCAGTGTCATTACCACAGCTGTCAACCAGTATGTAGTATCTAACCAGTACATTTTTGAGGGTCTGAGTATACATGTTTTTGTACAGGAAAATACTTATTCTCTCACAGAGAGAGAGAGTCCTCACAGACTTGACGATGTTAGAGAAAAATTATGAATTTTCAAAACAGGATCTGCAAATAATATGAGAACGAACCCCAAAAATTATTAGGAAAGACTTATAAAATCTAAACAATTTCTGACATAATTGTTGCAGGTCATCTTACAACAGTTTGAATTTATCGCATGCACAAAAGTAAGTTTGAAGGCTTTGGAGAGGGGTTACTTGTCCAATGCCCACAATCTTGACCTGCAGCATACTTAAGAGTCTGTTTTTTTAGGTTTTGAAAAGTTGGCAGCTATGCATTCCCAGCACAGTAGTTTGACCAGAAAGCCAAAACAGCATCATTCAGCTACTAACCTTTGAAAGCTGGAAGCTTACAATTAGTGAACCCTTCATTCTCTAGTCTGCAAGTGATAATCTTTCAGTACCCTTCTTCACCAAAGCACTCTCAAATCTTATTAGCAATCTATTTTTACTTTTGTAAAAGCAAAACTAAAGGGTTCACTTTCTTACATGAATCACTTCAAATCAAACCCTCTAGTTGATAAGTATCAAGGCTTTCTAAATCGTTTTCATTATAGACAAGAAAGAACAATGAAATGGATCACAAATTTATCACATCCTTCAATGAGAGAATGACATGTCTCTTAACGAGTGAGATATATAAAGATAATGGAAAGCTAAGAAGTAATACTTGCTACCAAGTAAAAATACCGCACATTTTCAGAGCTGGGAGTGTAAATGCAGGTGTGAGAAGGTACCAGAAACTAAATTTTCAAACTAGCTGTATGCCAAATTTATCTGTTCCATTTGAAAGGCCTATATCCACTGAGCATTTTGGTACCATTCTTTAACCTCTCCGTCAATTTTTAAGAAAATTGTAGTTGTTTAAAATTTGATCAAATTTGTTAAAGTCAGTCACTGGCTGCAACCCCATGTTTGACAGACAATACAAAAAGTATCAAGTGCACTAAACATCTCCACATTAACAGAGTACAATCACTATAACAAATATATGGAGCCTAATTTTTTTCAAGACTGTGAGATCTTTACAAATCAGTATTTTATCGCCTCAAACATGATGATCTGTCGTTATTTCGACAAAAACACTGAGCGTTGACCCGGCGACACGCACCGGCCCCCGCGGCGAGGGAGTCGGCTCTATACTGTAGTGTACTCCGTGTGCGGGGTCACATGCTTTCCGAGTCTCGCGGAAGGATTGATGAAAAATAATTCCAAGTTAATAACTTTATTCTAATAGCAAATGAACTGATATTTTAATTGATTCCAGTTATAAGTCGGTATTATACATATTTTGTGTAAAAAGGGAACTTTAAACATTTTGACATCACGGGAAAGCCCGTTTAAAGCTCTGCAGTTCTCCGCCAATGAAAAGACGGTATTTAATCATCCCTCGTTTCGCGAAGCATTTGAATGCACGCGTGTCAATTTTTCAACCGGCCGACCTCGCATTCCGACCGCGAGGGGCTTCGCTTGCGTCAGCGATTCTCCAGCTTCTAATAATCGGACATATAAACAACTTACACCATTGTAACGAGGAAAAGCTGAACTTTTACAAGGTGTACAGCATTTGGTGTTTTATAGCGAAGGAGCAAAGAAACAGCGATCGGAATTACCCCGATTTTACCGACACCACGCTGTCGGAAGGCCGCGAGTGCCCGCGAGGCCGTGTTTACCCTACCTAGTATGAGTGTTTGTAAACTAAAAAATTACACTTTATTGGCAACACTGCTGCATTTGCCTTCCATATTGTTGAACAACCTGGCCAACATGGGAAACTCGTTTCTTAACCCTAGAAGCGCTCAGCGTTTCACCGGAAGTAACCCGCCAAAAATGCCCCGCCGCCACGGCCGATCAGTTGTAAACATGGGGGTTTGGCGGGGGAGGGGGGAAACAGCTGAGATACCCGAAATGTATACCTGCTACTGAAAAATGACCATTTACGGCTCAACAGATGATAAAAAGCATATAAAAGCATATATTTTCTTTAAGCTGATAGAATGAGCCATTAAAAAATGATCAGCCATCAAACAAATACAAACAATGCCGAGAACGCGATAGACTCAACAATTAGTACATCAGCACGGCGAAACAAGTGATAACTCATAGCGTGTAGTCGCTCAGCGGGACCGCGTCACTTTATTGATCGATATCTCGGCCAAGAGACGCTCTACGAGGTCAAGATAACTTGCAAAGTCATTGGTCACTATTTATAACTTTGGCCTGTAATTGACTACGTCATTTTCCATATAAGGAACACTGGAATTTTCCATTGAAAAGGGTCAGCGTCTATGCCCTTTATATAGGGCCTGCGCGCTTCCCGGTCGAAGTAGGTCAGCCCTATATATAGGGCCTGCGCTCTTCCCGGGTAGCCCGGCTCACGCCCTTTATATAGGGCCTGCGCGCTTCCAGGGTTAATCAACTTGAGATTCACAGTCAGTGGTAAGACTCCGACCAGTAAAAAAGTGTTTGTTCTTTTTGTGAGAACACGCCTCACACCGATACATTTTTGTTACAGTAAAACAGTGTAACACATAGGCTACTTAGAGAGGAAAGCTGTGGCAGTATTACCAAAATTTAAACAGGCCTACAAATATATCCTACCTGCAGTCTACTGCATATGGTTTGGTAGGTCTTGCTGTTCAGGGTATTGTCAGGAACACCTTGCAGTTCAAAGTCAGAAAAACATTTCTGAAAAAAACCCAAACACCCAACAATACAACAATCATATAACGTCAGCTAGTATCTGTGCTTGCAAACGAGTAATTATAATCATGAACAGTTCAAGGGATGATATTGCCTACTTGTAGATCATCTCCTTTCATTCATCTCAAATAGTCAAGTATAAAGAAACAAACTTCCAAAATAAGGTGACTATTCATAGATTGAAATACCAACACTGGCAGTAAAAATGAGGAATTTTAAAGTTCAGGTCCTGTTCCATTCAAATAGACCAATTATTATATAAGCACAGAAAACACTTGTGTTGGCTCCAACAGAACAAATTGCACTGTAAATTACAATTACAGGAACGTTTTTGGGTAGTAGACAGCTAATTGATTCCACAAAAACTATATTTCATTAGGAACAGATTAGAAAGATGGCACAAAAAAGCAGAACGAAAGACAGCAGCAGAACTTTCACAAAGAACAAAGGAAAATGGTGGAAACAAAGAGAGCTGAAGGGACAAAATTAAAAACTAACAAAGAATAGGTACCACAAACTGAACTTTCAAAGTCCTCTGATTTCATAGTTAACTGCACTACCTTGTAGAATTTATCATTCTGAGCATTTTGATACCAAATTTATACCTATAGCTTCATTTTTAACAAAGTTATGATCAGAAAAATGTTACAGTTTTTTATTGGCGAAATGTCTACACTTTGAGATGTCACAACATTCTTAAATTTGAATGGACATTCACAAAAACTTGTAGACACACATCTATGCTCATAGAGAACAAGCTCAATTTTTTTCAGGGCTATCAAATAACCAGAAGATGGAAATTTATTGACGTAAACATGGCTTTTTGACCAAAACGGCAAGAAATACAAGGGGAGGTTAAAATCACCACTCGCGACCGCAGCTTATCGGCTGTGCGCTGGGCCGCGCTGAAGGGAAAGAGAGAGAATTTATACGAAACCGGGGCGATGGTGCTCTGCTTGCGAGCCGACTGGGAGCATCCGGTGTTTATTTTCGTATAATGGCTGTGTTATTCTTGAAGAGGAATGAATGGGCTTTCTGCAGATATATTTCCGTAGTCAGTCCGATCACTGGTTCCATAAAAAAACACATCACCGGAAAGAGCGTCTTCTCATCTTGAAATATCGACGAATCAGATTGCAGTATTTAATACCATACGCTCCCCATTCCTGTTCAACTGAGGTCACTCTAAAAATCATTACACGAAACGCGCGGCCGCAGCAGTGAAAACCTCGATAGTGTTGTCTTTTATTCCGCAAGATTTTGCTTTCAAAAGAATCGTTGATTCAAATAAATAATACTACTAAAAAGAGGAAAAGCTCCTCTTTCTTCTAATATATCAAGTGTCTGTGTGAATGCACGATCACACAGTGTTTTAGGAGGGTAAAAATATGGGTTTTGGTCTCCTTGACAGTGCGCCAAGGGGGCGTACGGCCAGTTTGCGGTACCTAAAAAGAAGGATACAAAAACAAATAAAAAAGAGAGAGATGGAAAGAAGATCTACATCCATCATTAACTTACCCTGTTGATGGTCATCAGACAGGTCAGCTGGTAAGGATGTAAAGAGAGATCCAGCCTGTCTGTCAGCCAGTCACAAATCATTTTCATTTGACCGGTGTACCATTGCTGAAATAAAATGTGGAATGGTAGAGGTTTAATTAACGTCCCTATCAACACAATTAGGTAATTAAAGAGGCCGATCCTCTTAATTAAACATCCATCTCCGAAAGGACCGAGCCAAATAAAAAACCTGTGTAAAGTGTCTTTCCCACAGACTCAAGTTCACACCGAGCTGAGGCTCGAACCCCTGAATCATCTCATGAGATGATTAAGGGTCCAATAGCCTAACCCCTAGGCTACCGAAGCCACACTGCTGAAATGCAAAGATGTCAAATATTCTGTTTACAGAGTGGGAGGGTACATCAGTGCAACATAACCATACCATCTGTTGTATACAGTTAAAAACAGACTCATTTTTACTTTTCAGACAAGAGCTCAAGCGTTTCAAGCATTTCTATGATTATAGTATGATGAGGATTTGAAAAATGAGTACACAAAGACTTTCACAGGATTAGCTCCATCCAAAGGGGAATGTTAAGCAGATAGAAAGTATCGTACAGAGCAAGACAGGGAAAGCCATCTAATCCCGTTTATAGATAGCCTTAAAGAAAACATATGTCATAATAACAATTGCAATTATGTACTGCATATCAACGCTCTACAGCATGCACAATGCATGTAATAACTATTAATACCCCAGCAAATCCTAGAACACTCTGTAACATTTTTGTTTTCCCAGGAAACAAGCAGTGCAAGCTGCCATTTTACAGGCGCTAAAACACAACATATTGACAAGGATCTTGTCATTTTGTTAGCCTTTGAGCGCTGAATCAGCTGATTGCACTGTATGCTTCCTGGGAAGCTGAGAATGTTTCCGGGTGCTTTATGGTCTGCTGAGATAATAATATAGTGTGTAAAGTGCATAGAGCTTGCTGTCCAGTGGGGATATGAGCTACACAAATGCTATTTATTATTATCATTATTATTATCATCATGGCCAGGTACCCATTCACCCCTTGGGTTATGGTGAGAAAAATTTGTGTAAAGTGCCTTCCCCAAGGACCCAATGTCGGGCCAAGCCATGATATCCCTTCTTCATGTCTTACCTCAAACAGAGAGAGCGTGTACAGCTCGTCGTTGATCTTGTTCCTCATCTGGTCCAGGTTCCCTCTCATGAAGTCCACATAAGCCTTGCCCAGCTCGTTCACTGGTTTCTGAGGGTTGGGCAACAGTTTTCAGTTTTAGTAAGAGTTTTACGGCACTTGCAACACAATAAGGTCATGTATGCCGAAGATTAGAGGTATTACAAGAGAGTAACAAACACAAAAAAGAAGGAGGGGAGATAAGGACGATCGAAGTTTACAACTGTCGTAAAACTCTTACTAAAACTAAGAGACAATTGGACAGACACATAACAGTTACTACATGGGAGTCCACTTATATATTTGGCAAATGTAAAATTTGACAGGAATGAACCATGAGTTAAGTACCAAAGTTGATAAAGCATTGCAAGTTCCACAACAGACATTTTAGTTAGATTACTGTTTAACCATCATATTTCTTCAAAGTAAATGAAATATTATTGCATGACTGAGACTGAAAACTTACTGTTAAGGACAGCAGGGATGCAAAAAATGTGCCTTCGTCATATCGAGCTAGCTTGCTCAAGATGCTTTCTAATACTGACAGCAGCTGAAACAATATAAAAGAAAGGTTAGGTACAACAGAATCAACAAGTCTTTTTAAGAAAATGTCTTCATTATAAAATAGCCTGAAGTTGGCAAATTTCAAGTTCCAGTTCTTAATGACATGCAACAATTCCTGACAGTTCTTTGACAAAACATCATCTTATTTCATATTAAAAGTATAGCAGATGTGCCAAGATATATTAAATACTTTCGGCTACGTGCAGAAAATTCTTATAAAATTAAGTCAAAACACAAAGAACATCACAGTATTTCTTACTTTATCAATAAGACACCGGGCCATTTCAATTTGGGCTCTTTCTAGGGACTCATCAATCTTGGTGTGGTACTGATGCTGAAATAACAAAGAAAAATGCTTTAAAATGCAATCAATTCATGCAAGGGATCAGAGTATTATAACTATATTTCCACGGGGCACATACAATACAAACGGATTAAAATACTTTCACAAACTTGATTCTAAAAAATTGTCAGCACTCTAATGAACCCTACAACATGTGTGTTACAGCGAAAAAACTGATCACACTGACCCTCCACAAAATTGTAAGCACTCTAATGAACCCTACAACATGTGTGTTACAGCGAAAAAACTGATCACACTGACCCTCCACAAAATTGTAAGCACTCTAATGAACCCTACAACATGTGTGTTACAGCGAAAAAACTGATCACACTGACCCTCCAGCAATATCTCACCAGAGCTGCCCCTACTATACTTACCATATTTTGTCCATGGTCCAGAGCACACAAATGCAGAGCTTTGTTTTTGCAGTCGATGATCACATTCATCATTGTGCAAATTTCTGTGAATACCAGATAGTCTGTGCTCTTTCCTCCTTTGCGAAGCCACACTTCAAAACATTTCAGCGTTCTGCATCACATGGAAAGAAAGCAAAAAGAAAAATTCTATTAAAAATGTCAGCAACTCACTGTTAATAATAAACATCTTGCATTTAGTATCCTTTTGTTCAAAGACACCAGCATTACTGATTGTGAAGAAGTTTAACCTTTCATTGAAATATTCGCTTGTTTTGTTTAGTTTTCAAACAATCAGATTATAAATAAATGAAATTCAAACCAAAGCATCTAATGTCCCATCACTAGAAGGTTGGTCACCCATGCTAGACACTCCCATGCTCCAGCGTCAAAATACCAAGGCTGTGACAACTCATCAGTTTACTCTCATGAGCAACACGTTTCAAAAATACATTTGTAGCACGTTTATCAAATAGCCAAAGGAGCCTGAAATTTTAAATCTTTTTTAAAGTCCAGGTGCTTCAAGCTTGGCACACTTGTTTCTGACCAATCAACAAGATAATAATAATAATGATAAACATTTGGCTAAACATTCCAGATCTTGGGGCCTTGATATTCAAATGTCATTTCATCCATATATATATGAACCTCAGTATTAGCAAACATACATAACTCACGAAAAAATTCAATGCTCAGTGTCCATGCTAGACCCATGTATGAACAACAGAAAAAGACCCATTACTTACTATGACAATTTATGAGGCATGCCGACAAAATGAGTCACTTCTCGCTAACTATAAATAAAGGTATCAGCCACGAATCGACACAAGGGTTAAATTTAAAGACTTTTCAACTGATACCATTTTTCTTCAAGTTCAACATGTCTTTTATTATTATTTCACACAAGTCAAGCGTCCAAACTCAACAGGCAAATTTGACGTATCTACACCCTTGAGGCTAAAATCTGAGATGTAACTCCTTTTGTCGACATGTCTCACATTTCGTAAGAAAAATATCCAAACAAAAACAGAAGTTTCACAGGCAATTTCATAACTTCAGTTTCACGAATCTTAGCCTCATTTCTCAAAAACTGTCAGAACACAACAAACATCAAAGCTGTGAGCAGTCACCGTTTTGCTGCTGCCTCGATCATATCGGCTGCCATGAGCTTCAGTCTGTGGTCCAGATGTTCCGCAAACACCTCCTCTGGCCAGTGCAGATCTCGAATGAAAGACTGAAGAGCATCCAGCTTCCAAAGCATATCCTCAGAGGTGGAGCAACCATTGCTGACAAATGACAAAGGAGACATGAGACAATTGTTTTCACACTTTCCAAAAGTAAGAAACTTGCAGTAAAACTTACTGTTAAAGTAAAGGATCTCAACCAACACAGCCTCCTTTCGTTTGTTCCTCATTTGTTTAATTCTTAGTTGTAGTCTGTTAGTAAGTGCTGATATGTTTTGTTTTTACAGCTGTTCATATGTGCATTGTGATGGTTCTCCTTTATGTGGTTGAACTGGTTTTTCTTTTGAGGTATGCATTCTAAAAATGATGTAGTATCTTTGTAATGAGTTTTAGATAATAACATATAACAATGTTTAAAGGTAAATGAACAAATATTATTTCACGACCGCCATTTTAAAAAATGCGCAAATTCGATTCCCCTCCAAACTGAAAATATACGCTCTTGTGACAGTTGGCGGTACAACCGCTACTGAAAATATACGTGCATGGGGCTGGCAGAGTTAATTGTTCTAAAAAATTACTTTGAAAAAGATTTTTTTCAAGTGTGAAGATAAGCATCCTTTACCATAAGTTTAAAAAAAAGGAGATACAGAGTGAGTGAGTGAGTGAGTGAGTGAGTGAGTGAGTGAGTGAGTGAGTGAGTGAGTGAGAGAGAGAGAAAGAGAGAGAAAGAGAGAGAGAGAGAGAAAGAGAGAGAGAGAGAGAGAGAGACAGAGAGAGAGAGAGACAGACAGACAGAAAGAGAGAAAGAGAAAGAGAAATAGACCCTTACCCTTGGGGTTCCCACTTCTCCCGTTCAAAACCTTTGTGAATGGATTGAGCGATGGAGGACTCCATAAGGTCCACGTAGCGCACAACTTGAGGGGCAAACACGTCCCGCAGCTGTTGGTGGAAGCTTCCATTGCAGAGATTCTCTGTGGATCAAGACAACCCATTTTGGATGAATGTTAAAAAGCTCCATTTAACATAATTCAGCTAACAGAGATAGGTAACATCTCTCCTTGTTTGTTTGTTTGTTTGAGTAGGTGTTTCACAGCACTATCGACTCAGTTTTGGTCATTACCTCTCCTTGCACAATCTCAGTTCTTAGTGTTTGCAACAAGAAAACTTACCCAAGCAAAATTGATAGAGCGTGCACATATATCAGAGCACAACTACAAACGAATGGTCGTTTCAAAAAAACCTATTTATATACACTAAAAGTGGAGAGAGTAAAAGGATATTTCATTGGACGTTACCCTGTTGTGTTACAAGTGCCATAAAACTCTAACTACTAGTACTACAGCGAAAAACTCACCACCAGTCCTCAGATAGTCATTGAGAAGTTGAAACAAGGGAAAACCTCTTATTTTCGGCACTTATAAGACCTTATAGTGCTGCAAGTGCAATAAAACTCTTATTGTTACTGCGAAAAACTCACCCTCAGTCCTCCGATAGTCATTGAGAAGTTGAAACAAGGGAAAACTGTCCCATGTAACACCTCTAATCTTCTACACTTAAGTGACCTTATTATGCTGCAAGTGCAGTAAAACTCTTATTGTGGGTGGTTGGCGGGTGCTTACAAAAACACACAAAACTCTTATTATACTAATATATATGAAAACTTACCATCAGTCCTCAGATAGTCATTGAGAAGTTGAAACAAGGGGAAACTGTCCCAGGTGTCCGGAGGCTGAGCATCCAGCACAGAGTTCATGTCCACGCCGAAGAGAGACCAGAAGATCTCGGCATGCTCCACCAGGAGGTCACTGAACCAAGCAAAGGCCTGTAGTAGGGGGGAGGGGGGGAGGAAGAGGAATTACCAGGGAGTGAGACCAGGCTAGCACGACAGATCCTACCAATCTGATACTGATAAACATCATGGTGGCTCTAAGGAATGCCTGAGCTGAGTGATCTTAAATACGACATACAAGTAATTTGATTTCTGAGATCGATCTGGGATTCTTTATTGACAAACAAAAAACCCCCCCAATACATAAATATGTATTATGATTTCTGAGATAGAGCTGGAATTCTTTACTGACAAAAACAAACAACCC